AGGCTTTATAAGCCTTGCCCCGCCCTGCAGAGCTCAGTCTGCGCGGATCCCCCCATGGGTGAAGATGGATCATTTTGTTTTGCGCTCATTTTTTAAAAGTTTTTTTTAAAAGTGCATCGGTTATTATGGCTTTTTATTTGGACTTTTTTGGGGCTGAAAAAAGATTTTAGAAGAAAGAAAACATCAAATGGTAAGATTTATTTTATTTTTTAACAGGTTTAGCTAATGGTGTCCCCCCTCACTATTTTTAGGGTGAGGGGGGTAGGGGTTAATTTTTTGGGGGAAGGGGGTGCCTAGGGGTTTGGGGACCCCTAGTCACCTGGGGAGGGGGGTTAATTTTTTTTATTTAGGGCCCCCGTCCGCCGCTCAGGGGTGAGGGCCGGGGGGAGGACATTAGGTCCCCCCCTAATAAGTATTTAGGGCCCCCACCCAACTAGGTTCCCCCCTCATTCTAATTTAGGGTCCCCACCCACAGCTCAGGGATGGGGGCCAGGGGGAGGACATTAGGTCCTCCCCATTATTTTACTTCAGGGCCCCCACCCGCCACTCAGGGGTGGGAGCGGGGGAGCAATAGGTCCCCCCTCATTCTAATTTAGGGTCCCCACCCGTCACTCATGGGTGGGGCCCGGGGGGGCAATAGGCCCCCTTAAGTTTAAAAGCGACACGCGAGTGGGGGCTCGGGAGGGGGTACTCTTTTTTATTTTTTTAACATGTGGAAAAGTTCAAAATATTGCATCGATAGAGAGGAAGGGAGATCTCTCTGAATCTCATCGATGCAATGAAAATGATAGTAATCAGAAATGAAAAAATAAATATATGAGGTTATTAACAAAATGGTGAAAAGTTAATTATACTTCACTAAACACAAATATTAGTGTTTTAAAACAGTAAAACATATTACAACAATAATACAGTCCATAAAAGTGCCGTTTGTTTGTAAAAAATGCAAAAAACTTCACTTTTACTTAAAATATCGTTGTAATACAATGTACCAGTTTTAAACACTAATATTTGAGTTCAGCAAAGTCTCCCGAGTAAAACAGTACCGATTCTATTCTCTGCACTTTCTCCCTGTGTTGACAGGCATGTCAATCAAATTTTAATTAATCAAATTACATAATTATGTTAAAAGTTTACTTAAATATACACGTAGAATTTTAATATATATGCATTTATTGGTATTTAAATTCTACGTGTATACTAATGTAATCTTTTATGTAATTATATGTATTTATCTATTTATATATATATTTGCGGTTATTTGTATTTTATATATAGATAGATATATATAGAATGTCATCCTAAGTGTATTTTGGTACCAATATATATATATATATATTAATAACAAAATACAGTTAGAATGAAATTACATATGAATATATAATTTATATTAAATTTTGTTTCAATATTTTATTTATTTAATTTTATTTATTTAATATTGTAATTATATGTAAATATATATATATAATATATGTGTTGTGACAGAACCATCTGTCTGCTTGTTTTAGGTGTATTTGTCTGTTTTATCCTGTTCGTATGAATGGCTGTTTTCTATAGCCCAGCCATTCGAATGACTATTTTTTCCCGAACAAACTAGCCGAACGGACGGCCACCCAGTAGAGAAGTGTGCTGCTGGTTAACCTATTGATCCCAATTAGAACATTGTGGTTAACCGCAGACACTTCTCAATTACACAAATTCAGGTTGGTCGTAGTTCGTATGTCGACCACGAGGCAGCGGCCATTTTAAAACCACGCGAAAGCCCAGCGGTGTTCGGCTCTATTTTCATGGAACTAAAAACTGACACTTTTTCTGCCGAACACCGCTGAAACAACGGAACGCCTGGCTGCCTCCACGAAAGCATACGAATACCAGCCGTTCGGGAGTTTGGGAAGCATACGAAAGGACTTAACCCAGATAGCCCTCCCATGGAGTCATTCGTATACCGAAAGACTGTAAGAACTTTGACTCCATGGTGACTGAACTATGTGTGTAGGATCTGAGCGCTATTCGCTAATAATATGCACTCAGATCCAGGCTATCTGGGGATATGTGACACGAATGCAGAATGTTCGGTTATTGTAAAATTATGTATTTTTATGTCTTTTTGGGTTTTGTGTTTAAAATGGTGACTGGCTTTGTCCTGAAGATAATTGAGTTACTTGGTAATTATCTCCAGGGCAGAGGGGAGGGAATCATAGTGCATTGTGGGTAAAAACTGTGTCTATGTGTCTGGAATGTCCCCATATCTGTCTGTCATTTAAGTCTCCCATTTGGTCCCCTAGGGGAGTGTCCACCAAGTGGGAGACCTGCATAAATACGGGCAGGTAGCCCACAGTAAAGCCAGATCCTGTTTGACCCTCAATGCGGAGCTTCTGTCTCGTTATTGGGGGGATTTCTTCTTCACGTTTAGAAACTGCTGGATGGAAACGAAAGCCGCTTGGTGGATATTATTGTTCGGTGGCTAGCAGCAGCTCGTGCAGGGCCGGCCTTAGGTGTTCAGGCGCCCTGTGCGAAACAATCTTGTGGCGCCCCCCCCCCTCACCTGTCTCTGTTTGGACCCCTTCAAACTATTTTAGGAGCATTCACAATCTGTTGCCTCCACCCCCTTCTACAAAACCACTGCACCTCTTAACCAAAATCCCTGGCCAGATCTTCACCAAGCCCCTGGCCACCACTTCATCAAACTCCTGGCCACCCCTTCCCCTTCATCAATGCCCTGGCCATCCCATCGTCAAACTCCTAGCCACCCCTTACCCTTCATCAATCCCCTCCCACCCCTTTATCAATTCCTGCCACCCCTTCATCAGTCCCCTGCCCCTCTCATCAATTCCCCCCCACCCTTTACTCAGCCCTCTGCCCCTATTCATCAGCCGCCTGACCCCCTAATCAATCCCCTCCCACCCCTTTAACAGCCCTCTGCCCCATTCATCAGTCCCCTGACCCCCTCACCAATCCCCTCCCCCTTTTATCAGCCCCCTGACCCCCTCATCAGTACCCTCCCACCCCTATCACCCACCTGCCCCCCTTTAATCAGTCCCATGCCCCCTTTTCAACCCCCTGCTCCCCTTCATCAGCCCCCTTAATACATCCCATGCCAAATAATCCAACCCCTGGCCA